CCTAGCAACACTTTCCTACATCACCACAAAGTAACAGGGGTCTCAGGTGCTCCAATCCATGCATCTACCTGCCCTTGGGCATCTGAGCTTGGGTAGAACCATCTGGAAGGCAGGTCGGGCACCAGGGACTCATTTGCCAATTCCACAACATTGCAATTCAGGTATTTCTTGTAACCTCACAAACACAAAATCAAAACAAATGCAAAATATGAAGACACATAGATGATTCAAAGCAGCATACGTAGACCTTGCCCTTGAAAGAGCTTACTGGTTTTATTAAGAAAACAAAATGTGCATGTTAACTTCAAATGAGAAGACAATTCTTACATTTTAAAAGCATTTTATGGTTTCACTTGCATCATTTTTGAGGTAACATTTGCTTTTTGCTGAGCCCAGCATTACTCTCTCCATGGTTCGTATCACCTGCTGTGTCCTCCATTGGACCCACCCCCTTGAGACCAGAGATGGCCTTCTAACTGTGCCCTCAGCCCCAAGTGCAAAAGGTGCTCAAGACGTGCCAGGTGGGGGCACTCAAGGTCCCTGTTATTTTGCGGGGATGCAAGACAATGTTGCTAGAGGTCTATTTTGGTGTTTTGTATTTTCAAGAGAAGGTAAAATATCCTACTTTAAAAAATAAGTTTCCATTGATAAGTCAATGGAAAAAAAATTTAAAAACACCAGGTAAAAAAACCCACCTTATTGCCATTGAGTTGGATCTGACTCATAGTGACCCCTTCTTGAGTTACCAAAGCACTATCATAATGGAAGTAGATTTCCCAACCTTCCTTCCAAGGAGTGTCTGGTGGGTTTGAATCCCCAGCCTTCTAAGTAGCAGTCAAATACCTTAGGCACCACCAGAGCTCCCAACAAAATACAATTGTGGGTCATGAGTAAATGGCAAAAATATTTTTTTTTATTATCTATTTTTAACATAACTAATAAATGGACAGAGCGGCTGTGTGGCTCAAATGGTTAAACACTTGACTACTAGGCAAAAGGTTGGCAGTTTGAGGCCACCCAGAGGCACCTGGGAAGACAGGACTGGTAATGAGCTTCCAAAAGGTCTAGCCTCGAAAACCCTATGAAGCAATTTTACTCTGCACACTTGGGGTCGCCATGAGTCTGAATCTGAATCCACTGGATGGCAACTAACAACAATATGTGGATAACGTTTGTGGTTACAAAAATTCAAACAACAGATAAGCATATGGAGTAAAAAGCAAAAAAGCCTCCATCACCTCTCCAACCCCAAAGCCCTCTCTAGAGGTCACGACCACTATGAGTTTTGAATGCACTCTTCCAGATATCATTAGGTAGATCGGTGGATCGATCTTCAAGCCTATCATATATATCAGATTAGCCTCGTTTTATAGATGAGGAAACTGCAGCACTGAGAAATTCAGGTAGTTAATATTGAGAATTTCAAGTCCACAGACCTAGGCAAGTGCTGGAGTTGAGATTCAAATCCAGATCATTCTGACTCCTAAGCGCATTCCTTCCACTACATTCAGTGTGTAAAATTTTATGGATGAAGAAACCGAGCCTCTTAGAGGTCCCCAAGCCGTCAGAACCACTATGGTTCACTGCGCAATTTGGGAAAGGTAGAAGTGACTGGGTGGCACTGTAGGATGCTTGGAGAACCGAGCCTTGACTGACACGGACTTGGGTTCGGACTGGGCCATCTCGGCCCGGTGCACAGCCCCTATCTGGGGTCGTGACCTCCCCTAAATCTCCCCGCAAGACGTTTGGCGCCCCTCGAGGCCGCCCCGCCTAGGCAAGCGCAGCACTTGCACCGTCCACCCATGGCTGGTCCTGGGCCTGGGGTCCGCGAGTCCGGGAGCCCCCGCCGGGGCAGTGCCGGGGAGAGACAGCTGTGTCTGTCTGGTCGGGGCCGGGACCGCCGCGGCTTCGCCCTCGAACCGTCGGAGGGCGCGGACACTCAAAGGTCGCCGAGGCCCGCAGCCCGGGGTGGGTGGCCAAGGCCGGCAGACAGCCGGAG